CTGGACAGAGAGACATTTTGATTGACTATACCTCACTGGCTGCTACATACTGAGGTATCGGTAGAAATTTTGAAGGCAGGAATGTGCTATTTTGAGAAGATTATTTTGTATTTGACAAGAGAAATCTCAGCTACAATATCAAAATATGTTTTTTACCCATCTATGTCCTTTTCAGGTTTGAGAGTGTCGAGCACTCTACTGGTGAGTGAAGCTGGGGGAAGGTGGAGATAGACACCATGCACCCTGGGGTCCTCATTGAGCTTCAACACCTCCTCTATAATCTGCATGCACAGAAAAAAAAAATCAATAGTATTTACAAACCACAGCTGCAATAATTGTGAAAACGTGATGACAAAAGATTGAAAATATTCAGGTGTATATACTCAAAATCAAGACATCACATGCAAAAAGTAGAGGACACGTGTTCTTTTAAGAACACAAAAGAGAGGGAGGGTGAAAGAGCATTTGCACCTTCAGATTAAACAAGTCAGTGCCGCTGACCGAGCAAAGAAAAAAGATGGAAATCCCTGACGAGGGTGAAAAAAGGGGGAGGAAGAAAAAGAAGGAGAGAAAAGATGTTAAAGTAGAGCAGTAGATCAGTGGAGCAGCAGACGCTTCCTGAGGGCAGGTACTGTGATGTAAATCATCAACCGTCAGCTGACATGCCTGAGCTGTTCCTATAAGGGTTTCTGTTTTCTGTGAGTATTTAGAGTCAAATTCCAGCTGAGCGAAAAGACCCACAGCTGAGAGGGAGAGTGAGTCCTACTACCAGTTACGTCAATAGGAAAAACCATGGTACTGAAATGAGGGATTGGTCACGCAGCAGTGGAGAACTACTGACTCATATTTGAGTTATAATTAAATGCCATAAAAGCTTGTGTGAGGTTAAGATTACCTTGACAATAATCCACCTTTATCACATGTTGCATCAACAAACTGCCACAGGAAACGCAACTCATGTGCTGACACGCTAAACAATGAGGGGGAGTTAAGAGTTTGCCCAGACTAATGTTCAGGCACAAAGGGAGTGAGTCGGTTTCACTTACTTCATCCTCACTGCACTCTTCCGACAGGCAAATCTGAGTGATGTTCAAACCGATCTGTGGACCCAGAGAGGGGGAAATGTTTGAGTTGTTTCATAGATTTGTAGACGTGGAAAAATGGGCAAAATTACAAACAATATACATTGAACAGAAACAGAGAGAATTACCTTTCCAGCCATTTTCTTATTGATCTCCAACAAGCTGTCATCTTCACCTGTCTTAGGAAGAAAATAGGACAATGTGAAATAATCTTACGGACCTCATACCACAGGAAGGCTCAATGGCTTCAGTAACAACATACAACTCTCAGGCGAAAGGTAAAATGGGGCAACTCATGTATAATCTCAGCTCTGCCAGAGTCAACCCTTTTCAGACTCCCTTTTAATTGGAGGTTTGACATATAAAAGCAGTCTGCCACAAGATGAAGCCTCTAATTTTGCTTGAAATACCTGTATAATGGCCAACAGAAGCTGGGTTGAGGGATTTTTTCTCTGCAAAGCCAACACTGCCTCCTTCGTGCTCTGAACCACTTTCCTGCGAGAGAAAATAAACTGGTTAGCGATCTGCAATAACATTAAGGCTTCACACAGGGTCTTTGAATAGATTCAAGTAAAACATATACACAAGGTTAAAGAGCCAACATAGAAACAGAAAAGATTTAGAAATGCCTATGAGGAATTGTGGGGAATGGAAGAAATACACATTTATAAATTATGTCTTAAATTCCCCAAATCTCACTACTTCTATAAAATAACAGTAAAAATAGGTTGTTCCATCCTGTGAAATCTCTTAAAACTCAAAATGAATGGTAAATAATTAAAGTTACTACATGTTTTCATCTGCACTTGTTTATTTGTTTAAAAAAAACTACCTTACAGATTATCTAGAAACTTAGTAGAAGAGTGTGTTGCGGGTCGGGGAAGAACCCATGAAATATTGGTGCAGATCCAGACACATGTACAGGGTTGGCCTCCATGACTGTGAACATTTTATAACAAAAATCCAGATCTATTGAAATTGGATTTTGGGCCTTGACTTAAGTATCATAGATCTACATCAAATCCAGCTCTTGATAAGTGAACCAGTCATGGGTTCTAAGTAATAAACCTTAAAAGCACAGTATCCTTCAGTGTTTCAGTAAGTTCCTATGTAAACACACACGTGGTGACGTTAGTGACGTGAACGTGTCCCCTGACGTCACGGCATCATCTATGAGAGTAAATGGTGAGTTCAGGGACATTTTCTCATCGTGTCGTTGGCAACAACGAAGAAAAGTTACATCAGCTGGAGACCCTCGGTTGTATCCGGAGACACGTGCACTGCTGGCGGCTCGCCAAGAGCCAGACACGTCGGGTAGGCCGGAAGTACCAGTACCGTCCAAACTCTCTCCTCCACAGCATCTTATTGTTTTAGTTTAATACAAACAACGTGATGAACAAACAACACAGAACATAGCACTAGTGACGTATCTTACTTACTTTAAAGAACTGTCGATCTCAAACTCGTCTTCCCTCCGGTGATTCTTCTCGAGGTGGACGGCTACTCTCGGGCTGGTTCCCCCGCTGGTGGAGCCGCTGGCCGGCCGGAGGATCAGCCGGCAGCCGGCAGGTCCAGTCGGTGGGCATCTGTGCGACACACCGCTGCCCCTGCTTCCTGGATGTGTCCGGAGACTGCCACAGGCTCTGCGGAGCATAGACAACCTCATCTCCGTTGGTTTGAATCAACTGATGTCCGATGCTGACGGGGTTGCTCCGGTTAGTGTCTCCTGCTGCGGACGGAACCTCCGGAGGACAAAAAGAAAAGTTTTCTGGTGACAGGCTGCTGCTGCTGGAGGTGCGGCGTGTTCAAGCACAGTCGGACATTTGAGCACTCAGAGTGATGCCACCCACAAACAGCCCCATCGTAAACCATCCATACCACCACAATTCATTTGAAGTGTGGGACTTGGGTGCAGTTTTGTCATGCAACATCTTGATTACGTGTTCTACATCAGTTACATGAATTATGTGCACCTCCCTCCCCTGCTCTGAAAGTGACTTCCTCTAATAAAATAACATAATACATCATAGCCAGGCACGATGGGGGGCAGGAGGGCATATGTGAATACTCTGTGGGGATAAGTCTCATAAATCAGAGGGCACTTGAAAGCAGCAGCTTTTCAATGGGAGGGGGGAGGGGGGGTCAGCTCAGGTAAAGGTGGGTTTGCAAAAAATGAATTGTTTTCATTCAGGTCTGTGTTGGCGTCAGTGAACGCAGCAGCCACACTCCTCACCTCAGTCTGCTGAAAGAGAGCAGTAGGTTCTAGATTCTCCTCGTTGGTTTCCTGTACATTTTAGAATTGAAGATTTTATTGCTGTCTTTCCAGGCCTGTTCTGGACTTGCACTTAAGTACATGTCAGATCTTTTGACCCCACATGGGCCCTGTTGAAACCTGAGGTCCTCAGCAAAGGCCTTACTCACTAGTCAACAAACCTGGCTGAGGGCCAAAGGTGAACAGTCCTTTTTCTTGTGCGGGCTCCCTGTTTCTGCATCAATTTTCTTGATGAGATCAGTCCAACAAACTCCTTATCCTATTTTAAAGCTCTTCAAGACACATAGGTGTGCTTCCTCCTAGTTCTGATCATACACCATCTACTCTTGTCATTTATTTTTGTTTCAAATTTTCCATTTTAACTAGTAAAGCATCCTGTAACTGTGTTTTGAAAGGTGCTTTATGAATATAGTTTATTATTCTTATTATTAAACAGAGTATGGTTTTTATCTTTGACCTTAGCATATAGGCTTGGAGAAAATTGGGACACTCCCCAAGATATGGATGAGAAATAACACAAAATAAAAACCATGTTTGCCCAGACCCCCATTTGCAACCAGAGAGTCATTTCTGTTGGGGCAGCATGTGATGGGACAGGCATCCCAGGATCAAAGGGGAAGGAGGGTGGGGGCCGAAGGTCAGATTAAGTGCATACACACACACAGACACAAAAGGCCACAGGCCGCACATTAACTTTCTGTGGAGAGAGTTTGTCCTGATACAGTTTAAAGATAGAGGGGGGAAGGCTGAGTTTGTGGTTTGTGTTAATTTGGACTATATATAAAATGGACCCTATTCTGGCATCAAAGCATGAAAGTGTATGCCTGTGTGAATATTATAGAACAAAAGTGAATTATCTTTGGATACAGAGAGTGACTTTGCTAAGACAAAGAGCCAATCACAGGGGTGCCTGTACACTACATGCTGTAATTTTATTAAGTAAAACTAATGCAGTAGTACCACCGTCCTGCTTTACATCCTGCCTTTACAATGGTTATTATGTTCAGTTTATGCTGAAAGTGTTTTAGAGAGGTTTACTCAAATGTTTAGCTCATTTTGGAGGCTGCAGTTTGTGTTGCTGTTGACTTGTCTTGCGTTTTCCAGAAAGGCTTTTCTGTTATTTATCTGTTTCTACCAGGGAACGCTTAACCTTGTCTGTATAATGCATTACAGTTCATTCACAATACAAACTACAACCTCCAAAATCTTCACACAGTTGAATCAACAACTCTTAGAAATACAATCCACCAAAACTGAACATAGTAACCCCAGTCAAAGCAGGATTTATAACTGGAATAGTGCGTTCATTTCAGCTGGGAGTACAATAAGCTGCCAGTGTGATCTGTTCCTGAATCAAGTTTCATCACAGGTATTTCAAATGACCCAAATCAATAAATTATACAAATATTGCAAGCAAGCAGCGTATTCAAGATTTTAAAACTTTATTTTCATTTTGCAAGCAAAACGATATCAAAAAGTGTAATAAATACATAAATAATAAGCGATTTATTTATTTACTTATCTATTTTTATGTCTTAAACTTTGTGTTACAACAAAGCAAAAGGGGCACAAACACACACACACACACACACACACACGCAAAGAATGTGTGCACTTGTTGTCATTATTCGGGTGTGTCTGGGAAAACCATGACGTCAGATCATCACAGGTCGGCCTCCTGCACCGTCAAGTATCACAGCCATGACCACTCCCAAATAAAACCCTCCACAAAGCTGCAAGTTTCAGGATAAAGACGCAGAAACTAGTTGTCAGAGATAAACCTGCAGAGAAACACGTGTCCTGAGCAACACTCACTTCACTGAGCCCTGGACAGGAGACGAGTTTAAACTGGGCTCCAGGTGGATCACACCTCCTCTGCTGCTGCTGCGCACACCTCGTCCTCTCCACCTGAGATGCGCCGTAACCGCGAGGCCAAACCGACCGGGCCTCATTCCTGAAGTCACATCATCACAGTCGCATGGACTCATCACCACCCCACTCCAAGACAAACCACATTCAAATCCTCAGCTCTAAACATAGCTGCTCTGCGCCCTTTGCTTCTGCTCACATCCAGGAACAGTTCATAGCAGATCTGTAGGATGGTGCCGTGGAACCACGGGCACGTCACAGTAAAGGACAACGTTTGATTTCTGTGGACACCAGAGCAAAACAGGTAAAGAGCTTTAACCCTTAATAATGCGGCCATGAGATGTTGGAGTCTATCATAAGGTATGTTTGAATAATCATAATGGTGATGGCTTCTCTACAGAGGAAACACAAACATGGCCTACTACATACATTAACTTTGTGTTTTATTATTTTTGAAGCCTGTAGGTATTCACAAAATTCCTATATATATTAAAATTTAAACCATGAAACTAGGTAGTTACAAAAGTAACTGTGGGAACAATGTTAACATTTATAAATTACAATATTTTATTAGTAGCCTACAGGACTGTTCTTGACACAAGTGATTCTCTACTGAAAGGGCCAATTACCTAAATCAAGTAGTTTTTATAAAAGGATGTCCATATACTCTGTTGTCATTTTGATTTAGTACCCCTGGCTAAATAAATGTCCAATATTTTTATGTTTTTAAAGCCTGAAGTACCCACAACATACCTGGATGTTGCCTGTTTCAAAATAAGGAACAAGACCTGTATCCCAGATTAGAATATTAGCTTGACTGTAAAATCATTGGAGTTCCTGAAGTTTGTGAACTTCCAGTCTGAATACCTTTGAAATTGTGACACCAGCTCTTTATTTCATTGTGGGAATTTACTTTTCTAGTCTATTTCACAAACAAAACAAAAAATACAGATGTATGTCATGTACAATATCTAATGCTAAGATAAAATACATGTCTGGATAGAGACGTCAGCGAGATCACAAGTTAAAGGAACTAGTTTGGTGAGGAGCAACACCTTCGACTATTCTTCTGAGAACCTGTTAGGCCAGTGATTGGTACTGGGTAGGTTGTATGTACAGGAAGAAGGAAAAACAGGCATGACAACTTTAATAAGACGTTGATGTGTTCAAACATGTCAATTAGAGTGTTTGTGTTGTTTTAGGATCATGTACTTTGTTTTGATTTTGTATTCTTAACCTAAAAAACAAAGTGAATCAATTCCTGAAAGTGTGAGTTGGAACAAAACTAACCAGACATCATCAAATCATGTTAACATCTGTAACTTTCTCCTGATCTCCAGCTGAACAATGAGGGACAGACTGAGCCACCTGCAGGAGGTGTCCAATGGCTACGTGGAGCAGATGGAGTACGAGGAGTCCACTGTCTCTGAGACCTTTAGCAACGTGGACCTGGAGGAGATGACCCACGAGGCGGTGGTGTTCGACAACAGCCCTGATCTGGTGGAGGTCTTTTCCCAGTCGCAAGAAATCCACAAAGAGGTCCAACTCATCCGCCTGGAGGTTAAAAGGCTCCGTGAGCATAACTCCCGCGTGCTCCATGGCACCACCAACATGAGCACCATCAAAAGGGACTCCAACGCCATCGGTGCTGATATAAAATCCCGGGCTGAGAATGTTCTAGCTCAGCTGCGGGAAATGGACAGCAGAGCCCAGAAGCTGGAAGAAGCACATGGGTCAAATTCTGCCATCCCGCGCATTGCCAGAACCCAGTATGCCTGCCTCAGCAACGGTTTCCGCGATGCCATGTTTGACTATAATGAGGCTGAGATGAGCCACAGGGAGAACTGTAAGATCCAGATCCAAAGGCAGATGGAGATCGTGGGACGTGAGGTGACAGGAGAGCAGGTGGAGGAGATTATTGAGACGGGCCAGTGGAACGTCTTCACCGACAACATTGTCTCTGAGGGTAAAACTGCTCGGTCGGCCCTGTCTCAGATTGAGAAACGTCACCAGGAGCTGGTGGACCTGGAGACCCGCATCCAGAGCATCCATGATATTTTCCTGGACATTGCCTTGCTGGTGGAGGAGCAGGGGCCCATGCTGAACGCCATCCAAACTAACGTGCAGAAAACTGATGAAAACATAAAGGAAGTCCTCGTCAAACTCGGCAGGGCCAAGCGCCATGACAAGAACAACCCGTTCAAAAAGATGTTTTGCAGCTGTTTCCCATGCGTCGACTAATGACCTTACACAGACAGGTAGAGGGATGGGAAAGAGCTGGACACTCAAAGAAAAGAGGGAAATCCTAATGCAATTAAACATGAGATTTAATGTCTGTAATGTTTGTATGAAAGGTTTGAGACGGATATCTCAAATCAGAATTATCATCCAATCATCGATCAATCATGAGTCAATTATTGGGTTTAACCAGAGACATTCAAAGAAACATCAAGCTGAAAGAAAATGTTTTAGAAATTGTAAAATGTAGTTGTTCTTGATTTAGATAGATGTTTTATTCATTGCTATATACTTTAACTATCAAATTCATGAATTGCCACTCTGGATCTTATGTAGAGATCACACTGTGATGTAATCTGCTACTTTTCATTGCCTTTTAATGACTTTATATCTTATTTTGGTCTTCATTCTCATTGTCTTGTATTTAACATAAACAACTGTATTAAAATATAACTTGTGTGTTGGTTCTGGTTGAACACTACATCAACATATTTATATTTGATATACATGAGATAAGATTAAACTTTAAAGCAGACAGTCAGAATGAGATTGACAAGAGAATAAAAAAAGGCAATAGAATGAGTACGTACATAACATAAACCTTTCACTGTGGAAATATTGTCAAGAAATCTAATTGTAAAGTGAAGTTGCGCAGAATGATTGCATTAATATAAGAAGTTATTTAAATAATACATATCCATGTGTATGCATTTAGACTTAGATTAACACATTCTCTTAAATTAAGTTCTCACTTAGATATACAGTCACACCAGGGGCACTGTCAAACTTTTTACATTTCTTGACCTCTGTAACCATTCTGATAACATCTATAATCCCTGGCATAGAATAGAATAGAAAGCAATTATTGTCATTGTACAAGATAAAACAGTACGACAACATAAAATAAGAGGTGCTGCTTCTGACAAACAATGCAAATGTATAAAATACAAAGTTTTAAAAAACAAAATACTAATAATTATACACATCCAATAAATATGAGGCTAATAGATACGTTTAATTAGGTACGTTTTTGGTCTCTTGTCATCAGTCAGCCAACGTACGGCAGCTTGATCCACGAGTCGAATGGTACACGTGTCAAGTAGCTCGACTCCTCAGATTTTCGTTTCAGATTTTGTTGACACATTACTTCAGAGGAATGACGTGTCGCTTCCTCAAACCAGTCTCTTCCTGCATTAAAAGAAACTGAGAAAAGGAAAATGCATCTCCACAGAGTGGCGTGGCAGTGGTTTGGCCCGTGTTTGTCACCTGTGAAGGGGCGTCAGTCACACATGCTGAACACACACACAGCAGACAGCCCTTCATCAGAACAAAAAGATGCTTCCCTGAGCAGCTTGGACCAAACAAATCAGTGCGAGAAACACCGAAGGGATATTGTATATTTGGATATTGTGGGAGCCACTCACAACAGGTAAGACACTTAAATATGAGAACTGAATGGTATTTGATTGATTTTGGTGCAGCTGAGGCACCTGGAGACAAGTGGATAATTGATTTGTGACAGACAGCTTGGAAAGTATAGGACTGATTCAAGAAGAAATTAACAATTTAAGTGAGATAATTGTTTTAGAATGTATTGTGATTGGTTTAAAAAATAGTTTTGTGAACATTTAGCAATATTTTCTATGAGGAAATTGATTTTCTCTGCGCTTCTATGAGAGGGACAATTTTAAATGTTGTCAGGCATAAGATTGGCTAAAATAATTCATTGAGAACATAAAGCTGTTGCGTTTATATTCTGTCATAAACCCAGTTCTGTCATAAACCCAGTTGTGTTTTTCAATAAGACCGTGTCTTCCTTGTTCCTGGTTGAAATGACGACATTCCTCTGAACCACTGAGCTGAGACTCTCATTGTTTTCCACCAAAGAAAGAAAAGCTGCAGGTAAAACTGACCTAGAATAGCAACTTGCCCGTACAATCAGCCTGTTGTCTGTTTCATCATGTTTCCTGTTTAAAAAAAAAAAAAAAGCATCATACCCAAAGCCTGAGTAGAAGTAACCAACATTTTGTGTTATGATGCTCTCTCAGGCAGAATGCGGGACATGCTGGAGAGGCTGAAGACCATCAGTGAGGAGCAGGAGGGCTGTGAGCCAGAGTTTAATGCGCCCGAGTACGACGTGGACAAGATGACTCTGTCTCAACAGGCGGTGGTTTTTGAGAACTCCTCAGCTATTGACAACATCCTAAAGGAGGTCCACTCCATTCGCAAGGAGATCTCCTTCCTCCACTCAGAGGTCGAGCGTCTGAGCGCAGTCAATGAACGCTTTGGGACCTCTGTACGACGCCTCACCCTTATCAAAAAGGACTCAGTTCAAATTGCAAAGGGAATCCAGCAACGTGGGGAGGCCCTGTACGCCCGCCTGCAGGCTCTGGGTAAGGAGGGCAGCGTGCTGGGGGAGAAGGAAGGTCACAACTCTGCTGTCTGCCGCATTGCCCGAGCTCAATACGACACTCTGACCAGAACCTTCCATGCTGCCATGAGTGACTACACTCAGGCTGAGGAGATGCAGAGGAGTATGTGTCGGGGGAGGATCAAGAGGCAGGCCTCCATTATAGGGACTGAAATCACTGATGAACAGCTGGATGTACTGGTGGACAAAGGCGGAGAGGGATGGGCCGAGCTGTCCCAGAGTTTACAGACACAAGGTGGCCGCTCGAGCCGATGGGCGATGTGTGAGATCCAGGGCAGACACAAGGAACTGGTGGAGCTGGAGGCCAGGCTGAAGGAGGTCCACGAACTGTTCCTGACCATGGCCGTGCTGGTGGAGGAGCAGGGATCCATGATCAACAACATTGAGACCAACGTGTGCGGTACTGAGGAATATGTTGAAAAAATCAATGTTAACATCAAGAAGGCCATACAGTACAAGAGGAAAAATCCTTTTCATCACTTCTGTCCCTGTCTACCCTGCTGGAGACGCACCCAAACATTATAGGGCATATTTTGACTTGATGCAATTTTATGGATGATTCAAAACTGAAGTAAATATCCAAAAGTTTTGTAGCAGAAACATTTTTATGTAATATGCTTTGAACATGATGTGAGTGTGTAAAGGATTTTAAGTTGAAACAATAAATATTTTAAGCAGTTCACTGACATGTGAAATAAAGTATGTTGTGAATTAAAACCAAGTTTGTCAATTTGAGTTAATTGTGTCATGTGGGAAAGAGGTTCATGTGTTCCCAGGAAATTCAGATTCATTGGAGTCATGAGGACAGACGAAGAATGGACAAGTTGCTGTCAGAGTTGTGACGATACAGAACTGTAGTAAACTATCAAAGTCCCAAACAGGAGCATCATGCTAAGGTTCCGTATGACTGTGCTTTATTGCTCTTTGCAATACAATGAAAGAAATGATGCCTCACAGCCCACAGGAGACCAGGAAATCCGTTATTATCATTATTGACATTATCCAAGCTTTAAAAAAGTAAGAACTCTTTTGAGATGTTACCCACGTTGCATGTTAGACTTCACAAATGATAAAATACAATTAAAAGCAATTTGTTAAACGTATCCATAGATGTTTGGCTTTGTTTAAAGCAAGAGTCAAAAAAGGACTGATGTCAGTGTGGATCTTACTGAAAAAGGAATTGTGCATGAATGTTGGATGTATAATTGGCACCTCTGAGTAAATGTGGCCCCTGATTCAGAAAAATCCAAGATCCACCACTGACCAGTCCCAGGATAAAGAATAATTCATCTGCAGTTCTTTTGGATATCAAAAAATGTCACTTTAGAAGTTTACTGCTTGATTTCGTTGTCTTCCGTGTACATATACACACTGGTTGATGGTCTGATCTTAAAGTCTAGTTGTCTGAACGCTGCTTTAAGTCATTTTCAGGTCTGTTTCTGTACAGTTACAGGTTTCTCTGGTCTTTATTGGCTTATTTCTTCGACATAACTGAGTTTTTACAGAAGTTCCTCTCTTCCTTATTGTTGTTTCCCCTCTGCTTCCTGTCTGCTTCAGTCTGCGAGGCAGAAACAACCAGACGCTCAGCCACGTGTGGATGAATCACGGAGTACGTCTTCCCCAAACTTGTGCTACCAGTTAGCCTGTGCTAACGCTATTAGCTGCTGCTAGCTACGTAGCGCTGGCTGTCCCCGCAGCTGCGTGGTAACGATGGATACAGCCGGGACTCTGGCACGGTAACAAGCCGACATTTTTGTTTTGGGCGGGTATGACGTTACTCCCTCACGAACAGCCCGCACTGTGAAGGCAGTTTGACGTGAAGCTGAACCGATTAGCATGTGCGCACATGTTATCCTGTAACTGCAAGAACTGCATTAGCATCACGGTTACGAGGCATCGTTGATAACAACCGGATTAAACCAGGACGTCTCTTCTTGGTATAGCAGAGATGTGAGGGGAAGCGCTGTACTAACCAGGATGGCCGAGTGGTTAAGGCGTTGGACTTAAGATCCAATGGACATATGTCCGCGTGGGTTCGAACCCCACTCCTGGTAAAGTCTTTTATCAAAGTCAGTACTTGTGTAAACTATATATACTTGTACTACACGTAGTAAAACTGCATCCAAGTCAGAGTAGAGCAGTATTAACCGAGTGATCGTGCGGTAGTCAGTATCACATTATGCTCCTCAGTACAGAAGAGACTGTGAGAGAGTGACGTCTTGATACCTCACTTTAACATGATCTGTTTCAATGGCAGCTTTTGTTTTTCTATAGTGACAACAAGAAAAGAATCTTCCTCATGATCTCATGATCCTCATCTGTTTTCATTCAAATGAAACGTTTACGAATGATAACAAATAATCTGGATTTTATCACCAAGGCTTCTCAACTCATTCCAACCTCTGCATTTCTGTTAACCTGCACGTTTGCAGTGATTATACATACATACACATTTCTACACAGTTTGCACTTGTCACTTTTGGTTTTTCAGTATTGTATACGACTTTTTTATATATAGCTTTTTTTAACTTTTTACTTTGGTTAGTTTAAATTGAATTAATGCACTGCTGAACTGACCTGAACATTGTACTGTCGACTCTCTAGTAACTTACAAATAAAACTCTCAATTATACAAGAATAATTGATCTACAGGCAGCATCTATTGCACATCTGTCCGTCCAGGGAGAGGGATATATTTGGTATGTATGGTGGATGTGAAGAGGCCAGAGGCCAGCCTGCAGGAATACAACATTAATTTATTAATGAATATTTTTATATGTAAATATACTTTAATTCATGTATTCGTTTGTTTACTAAAAGATCTGTTCTCTTTTTTAGGAGTGATTGCACCTTTTGGACAGAGGAGGGCGCTCTAAGCTGTCCTCAGGAGTCCCCGGGCTGGAGTCCAACACTAACCCACATACTCTCATCCCTACAATTTCACTGCAAGGCCGCTGCCATGGACTCATTGATACCTGGTCATCTGCATCCGCCGCAGAGAAAGCTGCCCAGAAAATAAATGCAGCTCTTCTAAAAATAGTTTAGCAAAGGATTGCAGCACTGTAGACACTTGGATGTAAGAAGTGTAGACGGAAAATCCTTTAAACTCTGTTAACCTGTTGAAATTCCAGTGAATTTAAAACATATACGACACTTGCACCAGTTTTGTGACAAATATATTTAGTGCGTAATTAGCGCAAACATTTTCTTTCATGCAAATCTTTGTAATTATACCTGTGAACTTATGGTTTTGAGTTCCCACTTGTCTTATTGCTCCCTCTGCAACAACCTCCAAACAAAACTCCTGTCACCCGATAGGTGTCAGATGCCCATAAGTGAGCGCTAGTTTGTGAAACTGAGCTTCTTCTTGGAGTGATGCGAGGAAGCGTCCACAAAAGAGCCCTGACAACTGAGAAGAGGGAGGGAGAAGGATGAGGGCTCACAATGGAAGATCAACATCTCTGCATCCCTGAAGCCTCGGAGACCCTCCCCAGTGGGCCTTCATCTTTTATTCCCTCCCCTCAGGTCCTGGAAAAGTTTCTTTTTGCTTTTCAGGCCAACACATAGCACGGTGTAATAAAATGAAACCTGAGACAGAAGCTGGTGAAAAGGTTTACGATCATGACAACTGCTGTATTTATTATTATGGTTATTTTTTACTGTTACTGTTATTTTTTACTGTGTAATTTTACTTCCCTCATTTCACAATTTAACAGTTTTAAACTCTCTGCTGTTTGTTTGTTCTTTCTATTATGTGTATGAAACACTGACTAGTTACTATGAAGAAGCTGCATTTACATCAGAGCACATGATCGCTCCATTAAACTTTATAACAAAAGTTTTTAAATAGATTCGATCATCCAACAACTAAATCAAACACAAAAGCCAACAAAAAAAGTTTGAATGCCTCAACACAAACGCTGTCTACATGCAAACGTGTCAATTAAATAATAAAGATAAATTCCAAGAACAGTAGAAACTAAAACCTTGCTGCAAATATATTCAATGAAGTAAAAAGAATAAAACTAGAATCTCAGACTAAACAGGATAAAAACAATGCAGTTTAAAAAATGGTGCTAATGAGTATTGAGCAATATTCAAGTAGTATTGCACATGAAAAGAGTCTATATTGCACATGTTTGCTGTACTTTTACTGAGGTTTTTGTACAGAGGCCTTCAACACTTTTCCTTCAATCCACATGTCCCACATGTCACAATAAGATACTAGCTTCAGTGTAAATGGTGAATTTCAGTGGAAACGTCTTTGAAACCTCGAGTCCTAATTAAAGCAGCACTTCTGATTCCACAGAGGAAGTTTCTTTTTCTACTTTTTTCTTTTCTCCTGTGGGAATCACTGGTGTGGTTGGTGTTACGTCACGTGACGCCCACCGCGCCATGTTTCCATGTCCGCGTCAGGAAAACTTTTAAAGATCAAGTCCAGCGTCAAGCCACCGAGGGGGAGCCACGCGCTTCCGGTCAAAACCTTCACAATAAAGCAGCGAAGTTTATGAAACGAAAACCGATACCGAAAGAATACTGGGAATTTGTGGAGAATTAATATTGAATGTGTTATTTTTGCACATATTTAAAGTATTAAAGTAACATAGATATCTATGCAAAAAAGATCGATGGGGTGGAAGGGTGTCGCATTGCAAGAAGAAGCCTGGATTTATAATGTAATACATTTCATCACCTTTTCTTCTTCTTGTTCATAATAATCATAATAATAATTATAATAATAATAATTAAAAAAAACTATATCAATAATAATAAAAAAAGAAGAAGAACAACAATATAAAAAAACAACAATAAGAATACAAAAATAAGAAAAACAACAATAAGAATACAAAAATAAGAATAAACACAACAACAATAATTATAGTACTAGTAATAATAATACAATTATTGAAAATATAATATCATGCTTTCACTTTGAAGGACACGTTCGGAGCCTTTCCGCTAAGCGGAGCTAACTCCTGCTAGCTTGCGGTGGTGCGGGCAGCGGGGTAGAGAGGGTGAAGCGAAGCAACAGGAACAAAGTTGCGGGACCTTGAGTTCACAGCCCCGCGGTGTTGAGCCGTGAGACGTGAGAACCATCGCTCGGTTTCCAGGAGGTACACGGACCCCCCTCCCCCCCCCTCCAGCTGCGGTGGTCAGTGCGGTTCAGCTGTGCGTGGCACAGACTCGTCTCTTTCCAAAGCAGTTTTTTTGGGGGGGCACATTGTTGGAGAGTGGATGCGCTCGAGGCTTCAGCTCGACTGTGTGCGCTCAGCTAGTCGCTCATTAAAGAACACGAGTGGGTGGTAGCTCGTGGAAAAAAATGCCGTAAACCAGCCGGATTGATGCACTTTGTTGTGTGGAAACTTTTGGCTTCACGCGTTCTGGACTTTGTTGTGAGGTGAGCACGTCTCCTGACTCCTCGGTGACAGCGGAGGTGAGTGTGTGGATCAGGAGTTCAAAGTTAAACCCCGTGAAAGAAAACCGCTTTTATCCTTAATCCAGATTGTTGCATGTAGATGTGGGTTTACACTGCGAACCAGATTGGAATATATGTTGTCGTAAAGTTCTGCAGTCATGCCTCAGAGATGAAATATTAACCACGACGAGGCCACAAGAGATGAACTATTCAAAACTCTCTCTGTAGCATTATGTGTGTGTGTGTGTGTGTATCTTTGTGTGTGTGTGTGTGTGTTGTCATAGTCTCGACCCTGACACTATTGTTCCACCTTCATATCCACCAAACCAGAAGATCACACTGGTTCTGCACAGGAGCTGCAGATTCACTCAGTTCACACTAACCTGCCTGATCGTGTCCCCTCCAGTTGTTTTGCCTTGGTTGTCAAATCTAGCCCCCTCCTCCCAGCGAGAGGAACTGAAATTGGAAGGACAGCAGCCACAGAGGGGAGGCTGCCTCTCCCTTTACTTTACACTTATTTTAGGTTCTTGCATCACCCCCCCCTCTAAAAACACTGATAAAACTGCACATCAGCTCCTTTCATGGTCAGACAAGCTGTTTCTGGTGAGGGGGGGGGGGCAATGGTTGAGTTTTTTTTATCACTGAATTAAAACACAAAGAGCACAAACACGAGTGAAAAAGACGGTTTCAAGACCAGGATGTAATCTGCGAAGCTGCTGCACCATGTCCACACTCATTCAGTCAAATTGGGGTTTGACAGATGGTGTTTTTCTTTTTTTTTTTTTGTCGTGAGTTAACTGAAAGTTGAGCACACACGCGACAACGTCCTGTCTGGATGTGCAGCGCAACAGTGCAAATATTAGCACACACACTGTCCAGTGTCCAGGGTCTGACAGGATCTTGTTTTAGCAAAGTCTGCTAGACGACATGACAATCTACTTAAAATAGTTTGAAGCAGACAGTGTGTGTGTGTTCGTGTGTGTTCACTGATATCTTGTTACACTGTGGAAAAAACACTGCAAGGAAAATCTTTGTAATCCGGCTTGAAGCGCTGCAGAATTCAACATTTGGATTTTGAGTGAGTGTGATGGTTTGTGAGGACGGTGCAACGTCCATGAAGGGGCTGGTGCTGACCCCAGCTGACATCGGACCAGAAGGTCATCAGCCAACAAACGGAGACAAACAACCATTTACACCAATTTTTCAATCAACGGGAACCTGGAGAAACATGCAAACCTCACACAGAAACCTGGATTTGAACTCAGGACCTTCTGGTCATGAGGGAACAGCTTTAACCGCCCTGCTCATAATCCCTCTATCTGGATCAGTGCCAAACGTTGGAGGTATCCATGTCCGTCTTTCCACCAAGTTTCGTGGAAATCGTTAGTTTTTACCACCCAACAAGCAACAAATGGACGGGGGGGGGGGGGAAACATAACCTCCTTGGTGGAGGTAACAAATGTCTGGCTGATCAAACAACACCGCTTTCACTTTACTCTGTGGGCGTTTCATACTCTTGATATTATTGACTACTTTGCTCTTGAGCGTTACAAAACTTTACATAACTGCCAGGTATTACGCTGTCATTACTGTGAAGGAGTCGTTTTAACACATCAGTCAGTGCCCTGAGTGTCGGCCTCAGGCCACAGTGTGAAACCACCTTGTTTCCTTCCTGAGCAGCTCTGAGTGGACACGAAGGTGCAAGTCTCAAACAGCTGTTTGTGTTTTAACGACTGACGGTGTTCCTCGTGAAGTGCCAGATCTTCCTGTGTGTGTGTGTGTGTGTGTGTGGCTCACTTAACTTTCCAGGCCTGCTCATGAGACTTACGGCCACATTAAAGCAGAGAAGAGCTTAAAAGAAGAAGTGAAGTTTTGTTGCTGGGCAACTGATGGATTTTGATTGAGCTTGACTCTGAGTTTCATTCTTACACACAGGTACAGACAGAGGGCTGGTGCACTGCGTGACAAGAGGTCGGACTCCGTAACACAAGTAATTTTGCTTTGGATTAATTGGCAACCATGGCAACGCACGGAGATGCTGCAGAGGGAGGAACCAATGAAGAGTTCAACGACATCATCAAATGGAGATCTGGTATGTTTTTTTTTTGATAGTTCTGCTTATTGCTGTAGTTTTGTCTTGGTTGATTACTTATTGTTCAACGGACCATATGTTAATCCAGGTGATGTCAAAATGTCTCTTAACTGCAGACCGGTGTTTGTTGTACATGCATGTGCAGTCACCGAAAGGAAACACTGACACAGCCAGAAATCTTGTTGTGCATAGTTAACCTCAGTTCCCATGGCCGCAAGGGAACAAGGCACTGAGGCAAGAGCAAGCGACAGTAGGTGTGAAGAGAACAGGAGGTTGGTTCACCATAACACGTTCGCTCTGTGAAAGAGAAAGTAACAGGAAAAGCATCCAATGGCTGCAGAGAAAAGAGGAAGGCAAGAATGCAGGGATGGGTCTTGAGAGCCGCACCCTGTGATCCCTTTATCTGCGGATCATTCCATTCCATAGGTTAATCTTTTGTAGACGCCTCCCTCCGCGACAGAGACAGACACACAAACAGGTTGTTGTTCTGTGTTTAAGTTGAGAGACAGCTGTATGTGTTCAGCTCAGCACCAAGATGGAATCTATCCTGTTTTTGGAGAGAGATTTAATTTCACTGTGCGATTTAGAAAAGGTTTTGCTAAGATCAACAAAAACGATAAACTGGGTCGTAACTAAACAAACTGCCACCGAACAAAAAAGGGGTTTAATGCTTACAAGCACTTAACTTCTTAACATACAGGAGGTTTTTATACTTTTATACTTTATGATAATCAAATGAATGTATGAATACTCATGAGCTGCATCACGCTGGTAAGGTAGTAGCATTTAAAAATCTGAGTTTGGTAGATCATGTGTTAAGTTTATAGTGTTGAATAATGATGAGTAATAATGTTTTTTGTATTGAATTACTGAATAATTACATCAATTCAGGTGTTGTACACAAACGTGCTAACTGGGATATATGGGCTTATAAAGCACTCCAACCATTACGTACGATAGCAACAGAAACCAAAAAGCTAAAGAAGAAAACCTAAGGAAGTATACGGGCCAAACAATCCAGACAATGTTCACACAGTGGGCTCCGGACTTTCTCTGGTTTGTCTCTCACATACAAACAATGCAGCAAGAGATTCTCTGATCAGACGTGTTCACAACAACACAGACATTGCAAGAGGAAGGACATTACGTATCAATTCTGCTGTTGAGAAATGTTTTTGTTGACCCTGGTGTCAGACTGTTGTCTTTCCGAGTTGACATCTTATTCTGCAACTTCACGTATTGCATGTTCGAAACGTCATCATTGTCCGTGGGGTGATCATCCAGGTTTTCACCAGGGGGCTTGCAGGAGAATCTTTCGAAAGTGTCCGCGGCAGCTGACTCAGACATTTTCACTCTCTGGATAATTTCAGGAGAATATTCGGAGTTCTGTGCACGTCTGAAAGCAGCTCTCCTGTATTAGATTTGGCAAAAGCAGCATTATGCCTTGTGTGGAAACTGAATTTATATGCAACTCATGTAACCTCCATTAGTTTGTTGGTCTTGACTGTCACATGCAACATGCCTGCAAAAAAGTTCCCAACCGGCCTCATCCCTCCTGTCAACCCCACATCGCTTTTTCTCCTCTGGCTCCATCTGTGTATCGAAACGTCTCAAATGCAGCAGAATTTAATAGAAAGAAAAGTGTGGATTTATTCCTCCTGTCTGGTCCGTGTGCCAGCTCTCCCCGTGCACCCACCCAGCCTCAGAGCACTGGCAGACGTTGTGCCAGGAATTCCACTGTGCAGATGGAGTTTGTAATTTACAATGCTTGTCTCCAGACCACAATGCTTTTCTTACAAAGATTCGGGTTTCCCTAGCAACCCCTTAAAGTAATGTTTTTTCTTTTATGTCGAGGAGGGGGAAAATTTAGCACGTAGCTTAGCTGCACTCTAAAACAAGCCTCAAAATACAGCAGAGCACAGTCGAGCTGAGGTAACTTTGCAGACCGTGGCCCAACGTGCCTCTTTTCTTCACTGTATGGAATGAATTTTTGTGGTATGTGAGTATTTGGTGGGTTTACAGAAATATGGCTGAAGTTAGGTGTTCTGCTAGATAATTTAGAACGTGTGTGAACCCCATGAAAGCAGGTTAAACCAGGCGAAGCATCTGTAAACGCCTTAATGATAACAGTCTGAGATCTGTAGCCCACATGGAGCTGACACATGGACAGTGAGAAGTGATTGACATGATGATGATGATGTGTGTGGGGTGGGGGTGGGGCGGGGGGCAGGTGGAAGGATGTTTTCACAGCTGAGACGGCCTTTCTGAGAAAAGCACGGTGCACTTGTTCAAGTCACCTCCATGTCTGAACGGTTGAAGACTTTATACTCGACAGTGGAGTGTGTACTCACGCAGCGTGCCCTCTCTCTGTTTTTGTTGCCATTACTGATTGACAGAAAGGTATCGACATCTTGAGGAGAGAGCATTTCACATTTAGTTACTTCGCAGCTGTGGATGACTTAGTCCAGCTGGTGTGTGCGTTCTATTTGTACACCAGCACTAAGGACTGAGATCATCGTGTGGAGGCAGGGGTGTGAGTGTGTGTTGTCGATCTTATGATGGAGGTCAGCGCTCAACTCAGTCTCTCCCTGTTGCAGACGCATATATATGTGTCTTGTGGGGCGTGGGGGGGGGTGGCTCATGTTTTCCATGCTGTTAAGCAAGTTTCCACAGTGGACGAGGAAGAGGGAGAAAAACTTTGGGGAGAGAACAGCGGAAAGAGAGACCAGGGTGGACCAGGGTAGAGCTGATGTAACAGAAGTGCATGAGGAGAAAAATAACTTTGGATGGAACTTAAATGCTCATATTTTGGCCATTTAGAGATACATCACTTTCCCTTGCTGTATTGCACGTGTTACTTTGCTGCAGCTGCTCTGAAATGCTCTGTATAAGCTCTTCGTCTAAGTCGCCGTTAGGCATGAATGTTACATGTTACTTGGTGACCTAAATGCTTCATGGTAAAAAATCGCAGGAATGCAAACAAGGTGTTTCAGGCCCCTCAGGAGCAGAGTTTTATGTGGGACTCCCTTTACTGCTGACTTTTGTAACTTAGCATTCTTATGACAAACTAAAAGAAAAGTCCTCTGTTCCTTTAGTTTGGCACTTTGACCAGCATTTACTTGTTCATGATCTAGAATATCAGATTGTGAAAAGCTTGACTTGAGTCGAATATCAGAAAATTATTCCACCCCGAATTTGATTATAGAGAATTGTTTCAGTTATTCTTGAAAGAAATAAACTCCTTTCTGTTTCTCATCTGTGTGAATTTGCTTGTTTTGTTTGTTTTGAATCATCGTAAATCAAGTATCATGGGTTTTAGGTTTTTGGTCCTGACAAAACCAGCATTTTAAAGACAAAACAAATCAAAAGGAATCAGTGAAAACAATCATTAGAATAAATATTATCTGCAGCTCAATGTGACCAAATAAGCTGAACACTGTTGGGAAACCAGATGTGTGTGTTTTTTACTACGCAGCACTTCTACAGGGGCTGAAACAGATGTTAGCGACTGCTTCCAGACAGTATTTCTGGTTGGATTATTCTATAACCCATAAGGCGTAGCTACCTATCCTGTCTGTGCACTTCCCCTCCCCCCTGTTCGCTCTAGAGTGCAGACAAATGTGAAAGGTCAAATATCATCCACGGGGTCACAGGCTGTTGTCTAGTGGCCATTACATAATATTGGACAATCACCTGACCTTTTTGTCCCTCTCTGTTTATTTGTCACATGAGAACTCGGCTGTGGCCTTCTCAAAACCACACGTACACAGCTCCTGTTACCTGACCTGGTCTCGTTGTTCTCCACCTTTCTCTTCTCCGTTGTCTGCCTTTTCTTCCCCCCCCCTGCTCATTTCCCTCTCATGTCATTCAGTGTGTACTTGTGCGTAGTACTGACATGATACGATCCAAATAATCCACTATACCACAACTGCTGCTTTGAAGCCTCCAGTTTTATTTTGGACTTTTGAAACAATAAGTAACCACATTTGGAGGAGCGAGGGGAGGAGCCTGGCTGAGAGCTCGAGAAAATTGCACGCCCACCTGCACCCATTGGATGGTACTATCACATGGTATCCAATGCCCCAGTGCATACTGGGCCAAAAAGGCATAATAATACTGTATTGAAGACGACTTGAAACCCATGACGAAGAACATAAACTTGGGATCATAGGTAGTGATATGAATGTTATAGTCTTTTGGTGTTTTAGACCCCTATGTGATGTCATCGTGATTAGAAGGAGGTGAAGCAGAACACAGTACAGGAATTCCCCCCAGGGGTCATGACACTGATGGTGGTTGAGGATCCAGATAAAGTGATAATGATTCTGCTGGAGGCTGGAGGAGATTGGGGTGGAGGTGGGTTATGTCTGCGGTAGAGAGGGGAAGGGATTTAAAGTGATTGACTGGAAGAGACTGTGGCAGGATTTGTCACATCGCCCTCCACTATTTGAACGTTTGTAAATGTGAGAACAGTGGAAGTCCCAAACAACGCACTAAAGATTCGGTGTCTGTCTTTCAGCTCCCGGAAGCTTTTTTTCTTTTTAACTGGGACGTCTACGTTTTACCTGTTTAGCCAAACAAAGGTTTTATCTGCTCACACATTATCTTTGGGTGTGACGTGAAGCATAATGGATGGCATATTGTTTTATCTAATGAGACATCAGGAATGTAAGTATCACCACCAAACAGAGGGTGTGGAGGGTGTTAGTCGTCACCAGGCGACAAGCTCAGCTACATGTCACCGATCCTTAATTCTAGACTTGGCCTCTTGCAGCAGGGTGGACCCAGTACTTGAAAATATTTCAGCTGTCACGTGCGTGTGTGTGTGCGTGCATGTGTGGAAAACGACCAGATTAGTTGTTCAGAAATAATTGGATGAAACTTTAAGGCTATCTGCTGTGATGTTCACCACTTTGCAGTCGCAAAGGAAGAATTTCAAACTGTCAGCGAGGGCAGCAGCATGTGGTGTTATGCAAATACATAAAAATGGGTGTGCACGT